ACGTTACGGACGCTTTGCAATAGCCATGATCGCGGGTGTAGTAAAAATTATTTATAAATGTGTTAAACTAATATATTTCGCGATTTAAACCGTTAAATGTGTCATGCGTACTATTATTGAGACTTAAGTTCTTAATGTAAAAACTAAGCAGTCGTAAACCCCTATTGCATCCCAAACCTTACATCAAAATGTCTCCCTTTCACCTTCTACTTTCGCTTGGATAATCTTATTTTTGTCGACACCAAGATGTTCTAATCCCTTTATCTAACACTCTAAGGTCGAAATTGCTGGAGCATTTCGCGAGGAGTTAAAATGTATTACCTTTTATTGTGATCCTCGGCTGGGATTAAGAGAGCGCGGTTTTGAATTTTGATTCGGATTGTAGCAACTCGGCCATTCAAATTAGACCTCTCCGGGATTATTTGTTGCTCGTTTTCTAATCGGATCGCGGGTGGCGCGGACAGCGGGGCAGGTCAAGGTGTGCTGGTTGTCTATGCGCACCTATTCTGTCCATGGTCGCGGCTATATTCACGGAACGATCTCGAAATGAAGATCTTGGATGTAATGGACTGGCTGTGTTACTAATGTTCTACTTAAGCGTAGTCTGTAGTTTACAGAAGTAGTACAAGTTTTAATAAAACACTTTTAACGGTTTTAAACACGAAATAATGAAACACTTCTTTGCAAAATCTTAAACGTTTACGACGTGAAATACTCAATTTATGTTATTTATCGCGCGTTCTAAACCGTTAAGAGTTTTATTTTAAAGTATACAACTCGCGTAAACACATACAATACGAAATATATTAATTATTTCTTTTTAAGAACTACGGCCTGGTATTTCGGATTCTTTGCAGTAGCCGTGGTCACGGGGTACAGCAGATAATTATATTTCTTCACTGGGATATAACCCAGACAAGAATGAATGTTAATGCAATTGAATTTAAATTTGTATCTGTATAACATTTCATGCGCTCATGGGCAGTTATTAGGGCATTTTAACCCTCCACATACACCCCATAAGATGACCTTTTCAACCCTTCTGCTTTCTGTTAGCGGCGCGTGCTGCATTTTTGTGATAATTTTAATATTTATAGCAGATTGGTGATAGATTGTGGTCAATTTTACAATACATTTATTATTATATATAATTATAAAGATGTAATAATAATATTTAATCGAGTACAAAACTTCATTTAATTAAATGTGGAATATGTAGGTAACTTTTTAACCATAAGACGTCGTTCAGACGCCTTGTACTAACCGTGGTCACGAGGGACAATAAGGTGAGCAATATATATCGCGTATTGAGCCGTAAAAAGTATGTTAATTTGGTAAACATGTAGTACTGGCGTAATAAGAGACATATTTTCAGTTTAAATTATTCTTTAATTATTTTAAGCATAAAAAACTAATTATTGTTAAACTTAGGACATACAGTAACAAAAAAGTAATAAAATTATCCATACATAAGTTGTTTTATTTCCAACCAACAATCCATTAATAGACATTTAAAATTAAATGTCAAAAAAATGCCGTAACCGTGGTTTTATCCAATTTAATCACGACTTCGTTTGAATCTCAGATAAATATCCTTCATAGTTTTAGCTAGGCAGGGTAAGGAAGTCAAAAATGTATTTGCTTCTGGATAACAAACAACAATGGGATCTCTTGATGGAGGTGAAAACCCCAAACCATATAGCATCTACAGGATGTGTTATCGACTTATTTTGGCTTTGGATATTCGGAAGGTCTTATCTATGTCTTGATAATGTAAACTACAGCTATTATAAAACCAGTTATAAGTAGATATTGTTAAAAATATTATAAATATAACCCGTTTCAAAATTGCATTCGCGAATGCATCAAAATGGCAGATGGTCAAACCGGATACGAACATTAGCAAAGGGACTTTTTTGCATATAATATATACAACGGTTTACTAGAAACTGGTTCTAATGTATGTAAATGAATTGTACCAGTAAAACAGACATATATATGTGTCCCACCAATGTACACTTACAGGCAACGAGTTTTTACTTTTATTAATTAATTTGTGATAATAAAAATTACAGACTTATATTAGATACGTCTGGAATTTTAATGTGATTCAGTCGAATAGTGCAAGCACGGTGTGACGTCAGGTACTGGTTTGACTCCTGCTTATGTTAAAAATAATACCTATTTAATTTGCTTTAATTTGCCTATTAGCAAATTTATCTGTAAAATATGGTGGAGGAAATGATTATTAACTTATAAAAGTTAAAAAAAGTCAACAATCAATAAATATCGATACGTAATGAAAAATGTGTACTCTGTACAAAAACTGGACTGTGGACAAAATTGGGGTGTGGCACGCGGCACTGCCCATTGGTCGAAAACATGGGTCGAGAAATTTTATTACCATTCCAGTTTGACATGAGTCTTGTTGGAAATGTTTACAAATAAAGGGGAGAAAGAAGAACGTTTTACATTTTTAACTGTTTAAAACGTGAAATAGTTAAAATGTCTTATTTTTAATGTGTAGGTAATATTTGCATAAACTACATACGCTACTTAATGTTTATAATTATATGAAGATATGTTCAATAGAACTGAATATATTACAATTTATCGGCATATCAAATATTCGTATCTGTGTTTGTTTGCAAATCAAACACAGACAAATAACAACTTACCAAAATTTTAGTTGACGCCATCTTGTGGTAACCTAGAGAAGCAACCAATCAATTTCCAATAATTACTAAGATCTATCAGCAAACTGATGAAGTATTTCTTATTAGAAAAACAGCATTAATATTTTTTCTTGCTGATGAAGATGATTGAATTGGAACTGTGTACTACTAGTCTATAAGCAAAATTCGGTCTGTGAAACAGACACAGAAATGAGTTCGCCGCATGCTTGGGAAACGAGATTTCAATTTTATCAGTTGCAGTCTAAATTCGCCAGGAATTGTCCAAGCACTAATACAAAAATTTACTTTAAACATCTATATACTAATATTACAAAAATTAATCAGAATTCTAATACGAAAACGACAATAAGATTATACCGATCTACCGATTTACAGTGCATTTTATTGAGAGCCAATATAAATAAAAAATATATAAATCCTTGTTTAAAAAGTTTCGTGTACTACTTGCGAAATACTCGAAAAATGCAAGAACTTAAAAAGTTCTTGTTTTTGCTACTCGACGAGAGATGGCGCTAGTAATACTGCTATGCGTATAATTTCAGACGCCGGAAAATAAAGATGCGTGTATGTAAATGAATAAAGTTGTATTTGGTATTTTTTATATAACAAAGGAAATTAGTATATCTTATTTTTTCAATTTGAATCGATTTTTATATTATAATTTGAATTTTAAGAATTAATAATATCCTTGTGTTATACTGACTGTAAAGAACGGGCTCGTATATCGTGGGAACTTGGATTCAATCTCCACCGGATCCATTTTTGTTATATTTATAATTTTTAATTAGAAATCTGAATGGTGGTAGGAATATCGAAATTCCGTCCAGATCACGAACCACCGTTCATGACAAAATGAAAAAGCCGCGCAATCGCGTTTCGGTTTTAGTAATAATAAATAATAGGACGACAGCGCATGTTGTTGAGGTCTTTTATGACTGGGGTATATCATCTTCTATCGAGTGAACTTCATGTATGTCTGTCGTCTTCTATCGCGAAAATCGCGGACTATTAAATTGTCAATGTAGGTATTACTAATGTCTTTATCTACATATAAATATTTCAAATTTACGACTTTGTATATGTTTTTTTTATCATACTTGTGTCAGGTGTGTGAGGGACAAATCAAACGAACAGATTAATTAACAAATCATGGATATTTATTGAAATAAAAATAATAAAAATGAAAATAATAAAAACAGTTCTTCTTTTACGTAGTACACAATAAAATTTGTCTTATTTATTTGTTATCTATCTTGTCTCCTTAGAAATCACCTCGTTTGACTAACTTTAATCTGTACACAATTGCAATAAACATTTACTAACCAAAGAGTTAAGATATGGATAGTATAATAACTCTTTGGTGATGGAAAGTTCTCGTCTTTGCGGCATTACTAACGCCGCAAAGAGAAGACCTTTTCACGGAAGGTACTCGGAGACATTAGGTATCTATTATAATTTACTTATAATTATCTAATATAAATTCTATAATTTACATTAAGTACGTATACCGAGAGATTTCACACGTCTAAAGGTAGTGAGGAATCAACGAAATTAAAACTGGATATTTTCAGTCTTAAATAAACTGGCGTTCCCTTGAAAGTCGAAGTGGTGTCGAATTAAAACTAATTAATTATCTCGTAATTAACATCTAGCCTAATTCAATTTTGTCGTCTACACTCCTTAATATACCGAATACAGGAAACTCACCGTTTTTACTGGAAAACGCGTTTTGAATCGCCAAACATATTAAATATGAACATCAATAAGTACCATTTACACAATATATTTACAACTTTTATCTAGGATAGGAAACATTCGCTTATACGTAATATCCTAAATTAACAGACAACTTATTCAAACTACGCCACCTACATTACATTAGCGGAAAGTAATTGACAATATACAGCTAAGAACTAAACATTAAAAATCAACATAGCTAACTTTGGCATTGGTTTTCATTTACAATTAACATATAAAGTTCAAAATGTAACGTAAAGATCTTGTACAGCCTCGAAAGAATAACTAAACACTCAAAAGTAACATCAACAACTGGCTCAAAGATATGTCGCTAAAACGCTGTCAGTTCAGACGAGCTATATTGCATGTTCGCTTCAAACGTTTCTTAGACTAGAAATTGGTTTGGGTACTTCCCTGACTCATTTGTCTAAACTGTTTTCAAAGACATTCATTTGTGTTGGATTTTTTCAATCTACAAGTACCCAATTTCTATAGCGAAGTTTTCGTTTAAAAGATCTGGCTGGACGGCGCTGGTGGTGGAAATCGGAGGCCGCCCCAAGGATAGAGTCACGACGCTTCGTCCCTGCAAGCGTTTGAGTCGTCGGAAAGAGCGAGAGAACCACCGTTGCTCTGGTTCACGACACACTTACGCATATGCTTCTCCAAGGTTGATGGTACCGAAAAGGGCATCTCGCAAAACCTGCAGCGGTACACGTCCTTGCCCAAACGTCCGTGCGTCTTCATATGCCTAGTCAGTTTCGAACTCTGCGCACACGCATAAGAGCACAACTCGCATTTGTAAGGCTTCTCACCGGTGTGAGACCGCCGATGCACAGTCAGATTTGAACAGTTCTTGAACACTTTACCGCAGAATTCGCAAGTGTCGTTGCGTCTGCCGTCTTTGGATTTAAGAAGAGGGTTTTGTAGCAATCCGTTGCTGCTATTTTTAAGACCGTCGAAAATGTTTTCGGGTGGTCTCTGAGCGTGTAGTGTTGGCAGCCACCAACCTTCTCCTCTGTCCATTTCGAGCTTCATACGTTTTGATGCTTCGAAGGGACTCTCAAATGGGTTGAATAGAGGGTGCGGTTGCGGTGGCATCTTGGCGAATTCCTCTTTTAATCTTAACGCAGCTGTAGGCAATCCATTTGGCTTCTCGGACGGGGGACCGTTGTTGTTATCTCTGTCCTTTGCTAACTGCCATTTTAATGAATTTCCTGATTCTTGCAAGGCTTGTTTAAAAGCTTCACTGTATTGCGCAATGTTTGACAAACCAAATTTGTCCATTAATTCACCAACGACAGATGCTGTTGGCGGATGCGCCGGTATTGCAGGTGTCTGTTTTCGGGTAGGAGCTGAAGGGACACTACTGTTAGATACAGTCAAATCCTCAGCTTCCTCAATATCTTCTCCGTCTTCGTTTTCTTCTTCTTCCTCCCCATCGAGTTCTTCGTCTTCCAATTCATCCTCACTATCATCTTCTCCGGTGTCACCGGCTGATTCACCTTCCTCTGTATTGCTCTCGGTACGGTGGATTTTCATGTGTCGTTTTAATTTAGATGCCTTTTCAAACGCTTCATCACACTCTGTACATTTGAATGGCTTTTCACCAGTGTGTATCCGCCTGTGTACCATCAAACTATTTTCGAAGCGGAATTTTTTGCCGCAAAATTCGCAAGTGTGGTTAGCTTCATCGTTGCGTTTGCTCGGAGGCGAGGACGAGGGCCTCTCGGCTGGCGGAGCGTCTGCCGTTTGAGGCTCACTTCGGCGTTCAGGTGATATAGAACTATGCGCCCTCGTGGCTTCTCGTGGCGCGTCCACCGTCCCGGGTCCGGCGCCCGCCGGTGGAGTCTGGCCGACTCGGGAGGGCGACGGGGAAGCGAACGGAGGAGAATGCTTCCTGGGGCTAGGAGAGCTGGAATTGCCTGTGGCCGCCCCTGGACTGGTTGTACCGGCCAGTTGCCGCAAGCGCTGCGAGTAAAAATCCAGCTGGGGTTCCAATGAAAGAGGTTGTGACACTGGGGGTGCTCTATCGCGCCCTGAAAGTGATGTGGGTATTACTGGTGGCCGGTCAGCCGGCGAGGGAAATGCTTGATGCGGGGGAAGAGAGTTCGCCGCTACTGCCGCAGCAGCCGCAGCTAAATTGAGGCCGTGATGGCGAAATTGTTCAGATACAAGTTGCTCCATTCTGAATCTATGATCATGGTGATTGGGTCTAGCGAATAAAGGTGCTGGGGGTACTGACGGGTGAGCGAGAGGGGGTAGGCTGCCAGGTAATGGCATTCTTAGTAACCCGCCGACTCCGAAGGGAGAATGCATATCTGGAGGTGGTAATAGAGGGTGGTGGCGAAGCGATGGTGGCGGGAGTGGTGCGCCAGATGACGAACAGCCAGAACTGCTCGACGATGAGCTTGATGTAGAATGGTTCTTGTTGGGCAGCTGTTGAGGCATGCTCTCGACGTATATCTTCACACCGTGGACGTGCTGCACGTGCTGAACCAGTCGCCAAGCGGAGTGCACGCGGGCCTTGCAGGTGGAGCATACGTAGTTACTGGGCTCTGCGAACAAAGAGAGAGGAATAAGACAAATGCGAAATCGTTTTCTGATGGATTTGCAGCGATATTAACGGCAAAGTATCTAGTAATAGCTATCACATATCGTGAGTAGGCCTAGGCCGGGGCGAGACTCGCATGCTAAGAAGGTCCGAGGGACGAGGCGTGACGGATAGCCCCTTCGTGTTCAGCGTGATTCATGCACCTCTGAAATCTTATGAAATATTCGCGAACCGGAATCACGTAGCAACGCGCGGGTTGTTGATATTGAAATCTAAGATACGTTACTGTGTCGGAGAGTGAAAGTTCTGTTTTACCTTCTCAGTAAAAGGTTACAAAATATTAATGTTTACACTCATAGAATTATTAAGTCCGATTCAGAATCAGTTATTATGTATAATAAAAGTTACTGGCTTTGGCTTACTTGTAATAAATAAATAAAACTTTAGTCTATAGATTAAAAATTATTTACAAAATTTGAACCATTCAAGATATTCTCTTATACAATAATATATATATTTAACAGTCTTATATGTAAGATAGATAAAATTTTCAAGAACAGTTAATTCATTATTCTTTAATTAGCATAAACTTTGATACAACATAAACATATAGTAAATATATGATAAAATTTGTAATATAACTTATCAGACATCGTCTAAAGAACACGGTCACGTGTAATCTGTGAACATTCCTGCATACAATAAAGGTAAATACAGTACAAAAAGTATCGATAAAAATGAGAGCATCACTAAGAATGGTAGGCGCGGCCAGATAAGCAATCTTGTTAAGACGATTATTGAAATGTAACGGTCAGACTGTGACCGACCGGAAAGATACAGGATGCGTTAATAGCTGGCAAGCCTTTATTTGTGACAGCGCTGTAGATCTTACCAGCCATTATGCAATCTGCATCTTCACCGTATGAAATTTAAAACAAAAAATAAGAAAAAACGGTTTAAAACGCGATATATAAGAGTTAAATATTAAACGCTTTATAAATTAGTTACACTTATTTGAAATTTATTTTAAACTACGACCCGATGTTTCGGATGCTATGCAGCAGCCGTAGTTACAGCTTTCCCGTTAAAATAATTTTGGAATAAGTTAAACTATTATCATATTGCGTTTTACATCGATAAAGTGTTTTATTTAAATGCGTACTACTCGCGTAATCTTCATAGTTGAAGATTTTTTAAACTGTTACTCTGACGTTTTTGGATAGATTTAGCATTTAATCAATGTAATGTTAATCAGTTTTAAACATCCTGTATATAAGTGATGTATTATAAGTCATAAGCATTAATATGTTACGACCTTTTTATTCGTAGCATTGTCCATTGTATTTTATTCTGGTCAAGTCGGTACTCACAGTTTTGAATTATCTCTCTCAAACATTTATCCGTTTATATTTTTGAAACAAGCCTTTTATAACACTGAAGAATAGAATCAAAATATATTTTCTTTTAACTACTGAAAGGCTTATTCACAATAGTATTAAAAACGTCATTGACGGGTTTGTAAACTATTTAAATCCAAAGTTTATTAGTAATTTTAAATTTTGACAGGTTATTTGTTTTAATAGAAATGTATGGATAACATATACTTTCAATCGGGTGCTAGGTGTTTCTCAAAACAGATATATAGAATTTACCTAATTCATAACATTCTCCACCTGGAAAATCTAAGTGCTAAATGGATGATGGAAATATCAACATTGCGTCCAGGTTGCGAATCAGTTTAAAAAAATTTTTCTTAGATCTAGAAAAGCCAAATAAGGCGACAGCACATCGTGTATCACCTTCCATCAAATAACGACGTGCTTGTCTGTCCTCAAATAAAAATATATAGAATGACAGTAGCTTGACTCGTAAAAACGTGTCCGTTATATTACCAACACAATCGGTAGCGTTGAAGCTTATAAGATTATAGAAGATTATCGAACGAAACTTCATTGGCTTGATAGAATCGATCCACCGCGCGATTAAGCGAACAATTAGACCAGTATGGGTGATCTGATAGTTATCTTGCTTAACAATAAACATTATAAGAAAGTAGATTGAAAGCTTAATAAAGCCGATGCTATTTTTTTTATAAGTTAATAAAATACAGGAGGCGTTGAGCCATTTTCGAGTAACGAAGCACTTGCGTCTCGTGCTTTGCAGCAGCCGTGGTCACGGGGAGACTGCGTCGGGCCAAAGTTAAAAATCATTTCCAAATAAGTTTAACTAATATATCGCGTTTTAAACCGTTAAAGTGTTTTATTTAAATATCTTGTTTTAAGTAAATTTCATTGATATTAAATTTTGATGTAACAAGTACATCTACTACTATAAACTTAAGTCTTGCCTATGTCCGTCTATGATAGTCCTGCACTGGCCGGAACAGAACCCCCGCGATTACGACAGGGGTCGTCCAGACGGGAGGCGTTTAAAAATTTCACCCCCACTGGCTTGGCTCACACAATGCCCATAATCAAAGATTGCCTTTTGAAATCGAAACGGTTGTTAAACTTTGTCATCTTCAACCGAGCGTTAACTGGATATAGATTTTAAGTTACAAACAATTTAAACAGCACGATGGGTCTATTTAGAAATAATTAATTAACTCGAAATTAATTTTCGCTATGAAAGAGAAAGTAAAAAAACAACTATACCAAAGTGACTTGTGCCCGAACACAAATTGTTTTGAATTAAATACATATAACAGAACCAAAGTACTCGTATTTTTAAAAAATCAAATATTTATATGACTTACCTATATGTAAAACATGATATTAATTGTTATAGATCATTTAAGTAAACGGTAAAATCTTAAATGACACGAACACAACTGATCACCATCTAAATGTAAAAGACGTGAAGTTCAACTTTATCGTTGCTGTTTCTCAACCTATATAAGTGACGGTATAAAAAACATGTTCTTAGCATAATGTTACATTTGGTGAAATTACTATTACTTACTATTTAAAATAAACAAAAATTAAAAGACAATAGTAAATCCTGCCTTAGCAACGTGAAAAGTTGAGAAAAGAAAGCTGAAAAATAATGACATAAATGCGAAAATTATTTAAGAAACAATAAATAATTGCTCGCGAGAAAAAGAAAAAGGTGTGAAACTTAAAAACTCCAGTTTGAAAATGGAAAATCCAGCATATAGAACATTCGACGGCCGGAAGCCGTCGGCGCTACTTCCTGTCAACGGTTGTTCACTAGCGCCTCTCGTGGACACCTCCAGAAACTGTCTAAGTTATGAACTTAGCTCGTAGTATTTAAATAAATGTTACTATTAAAAGTTAAATAAGTCGTTTCAAAGTCTGGTTAAAACATGCTATTGAGTGTTTGTTTATTGTTTTTCAGTAATTCAATTATTATTATTTATCTCATCTTTATTTGTTTAACGTCCGCCTGTAGCCTGACTATGTATACTGATTTCACAACACAGTCTATTACAATATAACAGATTTTCTTGAAATATAAATCTTCTTAAGACACTCTAATAATAAGCTCCTTTGCTAAAACAATATGCTACAGTAAAACGGGTGTTCGTTAAATATTCCGTATGCACGCATTGAAACCTTGAACGAGGTCTTTTTGAGGCTTTTCAAAATATTTTGTCACCGCAACACTTTTATGTGCGTGGGAAAATAAAGTCCTAAATAGCCACTTTTGAATAAGCTCTTCAAAGCCAAAACTTTGAATCAAAATAGAAAAGTGCTGTAATTATATTTAATACGGTCGTAGTATAAAAAATCAGATAGATACTGTGTTTTTTTTTAATAATAACTAGAATTAATTGTACGATAAAAAATAAAGATAATCTCGAGACAAGAACTAAAGCCGCCGTTAAATTACGCACGTCAACATTAAGTGTAGATAATATTGAAAATTTGAAAAAGGAACGTCGTTTATAACGCCAGAGCGCTTAGACCATCGACTTGTTATGCGGCGGATGTCCGTCGCGCCGCTGCGCTGAATGACCGTCTTCCCTTTCCGTCCCCCACACCCAACCCTTACCACCCCGTCCGTGCAAATTGTGACCCGTTGATATGTAACGATATGAGGTATAAAAAGAGCTGTAAATCCAGTAGTATGTACAGCCCTTATTACTTGAATGAAATTCGAATGACGCGTGTTCGCGTTCGTAATTCTGGTCGTATAAAATCTACCCTCAAAATTTATTAACCAGTATAATTCAAAATAATTTTTCTATTATACTTAAGATTATGTGAGTATTGTTTCTAAACTAAAAAATAGTTAAATAAGTTTTATTATAACGCCGTTTGTCTTTAACTTCATAAATTTTATTTGAATGAATGTAGCAAGCAGAAATTTTAAATTTAAGACTTCGCTGAAACATTGTTATATTTTAGAGAATACTTACGATGCCCTTAATTATGTTTAGGGAAGCAAATAAAGCCTTAAAGGAATATATTTCTGTATCCGTTTCACTAATTTACGATTTAAGGCTGTTTCACAGGAGATTCGAATCCAGGAGGACTCGTGCTTAACATATCATCGTGCTTAGCATTAGGCATTGTGTCAATCAAATAACTACTATGAAACGCTGAATAAATCAAAACTTAAACTTCGATAGATGCGATCCTTACTAATGTTCCCTATATAGACTAATATTATGATTTCTGTAAACTATAGAGAATAGTTAACAAATTGTTACACCCCCAGCCAATCAGTTCCGTCCCAATGGGGCGAGATGTTATTGATTGCTTGAATATTAAAACTTGGTTTCAATATTCGACAACTGCCCAGACGGTGGGTAAACTAATGCGAATTAAATGGAATTCAACATTGAAATATAGGTAGGTATTAATGGGTGTAAATAGTGGTAGGTAGGGGAAGTGATGTGGGATTTAGCGCTATAGTATACGGTCTATTTAAATTTACTCCACTCCACCACGATAAAGTACTTCGCAAATATTGAGACGGTTTAAAAAATATTTATTATTTATTTATTTATATTAAATAGTTCCAACATAGAAACAAACTAAACGAAATAAACAATTATTTTAGTAAAACATATTATTTAGTTATATATCAACTTTGGATTGTTCAGTGTAATTAGTTGTAAGTAGTATCCTAGTAAATAGTTTACGGGAGTAGTACACATTTAAAAAACATTTCAACGGTTTAAAACGGGATATATATTAGTTGAACTTGTTTGAAAATTATTTTACCTACGGCACGACATCTTGTCTCGTGGTCACAGGGAGGCACGACTTCTGCAAAGCATCCGAGACATCGGGTAGTTAAAATAATTTTAAAATAAGTTAACTTGTATATTTCGCGTTTTAAAGCGTTAAAGTATTTTATTTAAGTACTTGTTAGCTTTAGTTTAAGATATTATATGAGATTTATTGTGGAGAATAATTTCGTATTCGTAAAAGCTTTATGTAAAAGCGAAACAGAACCCTTATCTGACGAAGATGCGATCTCCAAAATTGGTCTCTGCCCAGATGTCGGCGGCTATTTTAAACTCGTAATAACCGTTGTCGACACGTGTGGATCGACCATTACCACATATTACAAAAAATTGAAGAAAAACAATAAAATGTCAGAGGGATGGGGGACAAATACGCGGTTTAAATTTATGTGCCGTAGAATGTTGTTTCGAAAGTTCGATGTTAGATTCTAAATGGGAGTAAATTCTGAACAATGAAACGAATTTTAATTAACGTATCCCATTGTAATAGACACATGGACCCTCATGTCCGAACCACAAAGCTTTGAACGCGCTGCTATCGATATCACTGACAATCCTTTAAAAATCTGACCTAGGGGACAAATGTCAAATCACTACTTGAGCTCCATTGTTGAAGCGATCAGTGAATTCGAAAACCGCTCTCCGCTGAACGATCTATCATAGAAATCTATGATATATTTACACACACTGAATGCATTATCACCAATCCTAAATCAGCTATCAACGGACTCTTTTCACTAAAAGGGTGAGCACTCTATAGAAAAGGTTGACCCTTCATAAAGACTTATCACCTCATATACAAAATAAGGTTCTACTAATCCGCGACGTGTCAAACGAGATGAGAATGTAACGCAAACTGTTAAAGGTCATTTTTCCAATAACGCGATCTGAAGATGAGCGATTCGAAGTCGGCGGTAGTTTTTCTCTCGACAATCTTCTCTCGGACTTAACTTACGTTATCTCGCCCACGTCAAGGAATAGAACCCGCACATACATAATAGAGACGATATTTCTAAAGAAATATAAATTTGCCCGCAAAGGTCCCGAGATAGGATTAAAGATTGGAGGAGATGGCCCTTTGTGGACGACCCTTAAGAAAACATGTCTTGATATGGAAATTTTGCGGACGATACTGGAGTGAATCATTTACAATTCCATTAAAAGGACAATAATATAACAATATAGATGTTTTAGTGGCGTAGCTCATCACAGTAAAGTTGTAAAGGCAACATAAGCCCTATGTTGCTACTGTATGTAACTATCATAATTTTTGTTAAGAAAAGAATACACTGAAGACACAAAAAGACTCATATCTGTTTCTTTTCTACTATCTATTTTACTTCCAGCCAAGTTGTTGAATCCGTGGTAGGATATGATATGTTTAAAATTCCAAAAAGAAATAAAAAAAAGACCGCCTTAGGAATTTAAATAAACGTTATTTTTTTTTTTCCCCGTAACCACGGCTACTGCAAAACATTGGGCCGTTAATAAGTTAACTATAATTCGCGTTTTAATCTGTAAAAAGTGTTTTATAAACTACAGACAATACGCCTCAGTTATCCAACAATTCTTCATTAATTTAAAAACCAAACAAACCAAACAAAACGGGCAAACACTGGACGCAACGCGCACTTGGGCCAATATTTGCCCCGATACAAATAAGTGACGACCATCAGTTCACCAGCATTGTAATGGTAATGTCTGCAAAGACACTCTGTGGACACAGCGGTCAAAAGACGTGTTCTTTTGTTATAATGTATGACTAATACACAAATATGGAAATGCCATCATTCCAATACCTCCAAATATAACGAAGGACGCGATAGGCACGGGACAATTCTCCCCTCACTTCGAGACGTCAGATCTAAAATTAAATGCCACTTATTCAAAACCCGCCACTTAGCTACCTTCTGTTAACTAAAAATATCCTCGACCATTGTGCCACAGTCAAAGATCCCTAGGTCACGACGACACACGAACGTGTCAGGAGCACGCCGAAGGTTTTTTATCTTCAAAAATTATAAAAGGCCGCCTGACAATGGAGCCGCAGTAGCATCTTTGACAATTATAATATCATGCGCAACTTTGACGCGAGACGGTAACAAGCGTACGGTTTATCCTTTTATTTTGAACTCTAAACAAATAGGGTCAGGGCTGAATATTCATTAGCGGTTGCCGGCGACATCGGATCTTCACGGTCGCTCCACGCTCATAAGGGTCATCACAAAGGCAGAAGATAACAATGCGCGTACGTCAAACCGTGCGTTCATGCAAATACTTTTTTTCTTCAAAAACATCCCCTGTATCTGTTAAAGCGATGGGGTTAATTAATACAGGATATAATTAAATTATGATCGTTTTTTCTGTGGCACGTTTCGATCGCTGTGACACGGCGCACGCGTTTAGATTTATAGGTGGGATTGTATTGTTCTAATGCGATAAAGTTTCGTATGATTTTATTAACGGGCCCCTTTACGTTATTGAATGTGTGACAGCTCCGAAGGGGTTAACGTTTAGGATAAACTCAATAAGCCCAAACAACTGGTGTTGAAACGAAACCTGCTACTGACGTGATAGCGCAATCGTATTGTGGCAACACGTCTAAGCGTATTTCGACGGCACTTTGTATTAAAGGTTGATTTTCGTTTCTGTATTACTAAAAAAGGAAAATGTGAAATCCCGTTTTACCCCCGGACACAAATGAGTGTCCGTTTCACTTTTCCCAGCATTTTAAAAATCGAAAATAAATTAAAAAAATTTTCGCCTCGGGTCAGGACTTGAACCGGTATCGTCAGCGTTCCGTGCTGTTGCTCTACCAATTGAGCTACCGAGTCCTACATCTCATCGTCGAATTTTTTCAACTTATTGATACATGCACCTCTCGCGCAATGTAATTTCAACCTTAACACTTGCGATTATTTAAATTTATTATCGATGTAAAAAAAAATAATGTTTTCAAACGTTTTCCCAGCATGACTTCTATGCCTTACCCGGCCGAAACGATCTATTGGTTCCCTTAGATTGGAAAACCAGGACGTCTCGCGTTTACCCAATGCTAAACAACGCGTCACTACAGACACAGAGGCGGTCTATACACATACAAACCTCCTCAGCTTAATAAATCTAGCTCTCGAAGACGAACAATTTTCACCGTTTTTTCGCTCCTATCGGTTGCCGATGTTTTATAGCCTTCCTCAATAAATGCTCTAACTAACACAAAAATATTTTTTTCAACTCGAAACAGTAGTTTCTGAGATTAGCGCGCTCAAACTCTTAAGCCTTATATGTATATTATGTTTATAAGACAGATTTGATTAGGTAGAAAATCAATTCGACGCGTGTTCTACCTTTGAAGTCATTAGATGTTACGTAATCCATAATTCGCGATTGCTCATTGTGCCGGGAAAAATGCGGGTTGAAAATTAAACGTTGTACAATTTCGGGTTTAAGAAAGCTTTTGTTGTGCAACGGTTTAATACAAAAGTGTCAAATGACGGCACATCTGCTCGCACAAAGGGTTATGCTCGGATAGATTATTTTTCGAACCACCCTCGCAAGATTGCGCTTATACAGATGTCCCGAGAATTCACGTGTGCTCGTTAAGGGATTATGATAAGGATTTTTAAGATCTTAAGATTTTGTTAAGCGGGCAGCTGTTTAAAAATCAATACTATAGCGAGAAGATCCTTGTATGGGTACATATTTTATACGAAACTATGTATTGATGAACAGTAGTGTAGCTAGGTGGGCAAGGATCCCGGTCTACCTAACCCTAAGGCAAAGAGAGTCCTCATCCCCTCTTTTAGCATAGCTTGAATTAAATGAACCTCCAAAATTATAAATAGCCTTGACTATGGTATGTCCGAAACTTTAAACAAATATAAATTACATTAATACGACATCATCGTATAAGTTTTGTAACATTGTCAAACCATTAAATACTTAAAGTTACAACTTTCGGAAACTGTTAGGAACACGCTGTATATACCAAGATTGACATAAACCTTAAATGTATGACCGAATGGTGACGTCAGCATAACACGAACTGTCCAGTATTGTTGTTGTGCAATACTTAGTCACAATGCAATCGAGGAGAACGTGCCGATAAAATTGTCTAAATCCTTTGAAGATGACTGCAATGATTAATAATAAGCCGACATCAGCTGAGAGTGCGCGGTCGTCCTTTTAATTTCGTACACAAAAGAAATATTTACGTGTTGCTCGCAGTATGAAAAAAAAAGAATAAATTATGTATGCTATTATTAAAAGATTGAAGACTTTGTTTGTGTGTTTGTTTGATAGCGCGTTCAAACAAACACACACACAAAAAATCTCAGGAAATATTGATTTGAATTGAAAAATTCTTTGTGAAAAACTCTTTTGTGTATCATAGAGCATTTATCGAGGAAGGCTTGAGTCTATGAAACGTTACTATGCGTCTGTATAATATAGTAAGAAGTGTGAAAAAAACGGGAGAAATTATCCATCTTTAAGGGTTTGTTGAGTTGACAAACATATAAAGTACATACCACTATGCATAGTATTTGATTCAGCATCAGCCACTTCTGTTCTGGATTTCTTTTGGTCTTCAGGTGAGCTAGACGTATCCATGTGTTCTTGTTTAATTTTCGGTTTGATGTCTTCGTCTGGGGAACTTGAAGGCATCGGTGATGTGGAAGCCCTCCTTTTTGGAGTTGACTGTTCCGCATCAGCGTCTGTTAAATCATATTATTATTATTGCGGATATAAAAGATATTCCCCAAATATGTTTTCTACTTCGAACACATCTAACCAAGCTAAAGATGGTTACAAATTCAAAGGTATGAAAGATGTGTCGCAAACTTTCTAACTTTTCAAAAGTTCCGCTATATACCTACCATCTAACAATCTCTTAGGAGTACTCGAAGCTCCACCATCTTCTATTAAGTCAGGAGGTGCTATCGACGGACTGGCCAACGGAGGAGTATGAACTCGACTGTTCGGCGGCCTTCTTGCTGTTAGAAGAGAAGGTCGCCTACCCGTAGACCCTGAACTCATATTTTGTCCCGGTCTCGAACCATCTTCTGGGTCAGAATTAGGACCTGTAATGACGTTATCTTTTAAAGATCGGTTAAAAATTGATGACACTCTATTGTTTTTTTTATATATAAGTTCATTTACGTGTAATTTTAAGTATTCAACCATTTCCTTTCCAATATTCACTGTTTATCGATATATCCTCTGTGTACGAAGGTCAGCAAGGGAAATTACTTTTTGTTATCACTTGTGTTTTTGCACAAATTGCTTTTCCTTTCAATTTATTTTTTTCCACCTCTATACATCACACGTCCGGTGTTAATGCCATTTTGACATCAACTTTAAAATTAGAAAGTTAATTCATAGTGTTATTGTGAATAATCAAGATATGCTGATGTAGAAGTTAACAGCGTTACAAGGATAGGAGGATAAAATATTATTTAGAAGACGTTAGTTATTGTAAACGAACATAACGTCTTATTGGCGAATTATCGATTCGTGATTTAGTAACTATGCTTCGCTAGGTTTGTTCATAATATTGTAAACAAATTTTAAGAAAGATAATATTAATTAAATAGTACAAATTACAAATATATTTACACCGCAAAGACCCTTAAAAATAATATATACGAAATAAAATGTGCAAAGGCTGCCTTATCACCTTTGGCGATTTCTTCCTTCTTTTCTTATTTCTTTTGTATATAGAACAAAAAAAAACAAAATTACAGGAAAGAAGCAAATGTCAACACGGTATATGAAAAAAATATTCGGAAAGATATGGTAAAGACCAAGACTTTTTTCTTTTAAATATAACTTACCTGCACTGAAGCAATGGTAGGTGCTTAGTTCCTTATCACAGGAGGAGACCTTATGCTGTATGAACCGCACGATGTCAGCCAGAGCAAAGGCCCGACGACAGGCTCCACAAGTGAGAGTGTCAGACGGGACCCCCGGTGTTGGTGAGCCTCCACCCTCTGCCGCGCTGTCCGCATCCGCTATAACAAATTTTCTATTAGCTTCAAAAATACTTTACTGTGACTTACAGAATAGTAATTGATAACCAATATATATTAAAGAATATATGAGACATGTTTTATCTTAATAAATAAAAAATAAATTCTAATAATGATTCATTCTTCAGTTCTGTAATTTAAATTTAAGTCACCGTGGTCGAGAAAGCCAAGAATCTTTAAGAGTTAACAAAATTTATAAGGTGGACATCAATGCTGCGTTAGTTAATAGTACTGCTGGCTGTCAAAGTTTTTATTTTATCATTTATTATTCCGTATCATAAAATGTTATGTATTCTTACGTATTTAGTTCGATAACGTCTCAACATAGTCTAATCTTATTTAAAATTATGTACTTAGTGGTAATGTATTTATACGTTGTGTTACTCCTAAAATGTTCGTTGAATCTTTTTCTTTTGTTCGGCCATATGAGTAATCCTTCAATTGTTCATTGGTTGGTGGAATTTTTCACCAAATTCTTTCACCAAAATTACCACTATTGAAGAACACACTAAAGTATTACAACAATTTGTGGTTGTCACGCAATAACGGACGCGAAAATACAGTTTATTAAGAATATAGTGCAAGTGACATATGGACAATGGTGCATTCAACCCTTCAAGTGCCAAATTATATATAATTATCTTAAGTCATGGTCGAAGGTGTCAGTTGCGTGATTGACCACTTATCTCCGGGACAAAAGGATAACAGTCTTTTGGTTAGCTGGGGGTTCTTTATTTAGTTCAATTCGACAGATGAACGTTTTGATTTGAGTCTTTTGTATATGAAACTGTTTGACCGGTATTTATGGGCGGTGATTGTTAAATGTTTTCGGATGTATGCAATTGAATAAGTTTTGCACAGAGATATGTGAGAAGGATAATTTTGATAAACATTTGTTATGATAATGGACAAGTATAGGGTTCACTTATAAGGTGAAAAGATCATCTAGTTAAGATGCGCTGACGACGATGTTGCCTTTTGTTTTATAATACATTCTAAGAAGTTTGAAGAAGAAACGGGAGAGACTATTAAACATCATACCAATTTGTGTCGTTATTTATAAGAAAGCGATAGTAATTATTACAATGAATCTAGTAAGTTGTTGTATATCTGTATCTACTTGTAAGTTGTATAACAAATAGACGATATATCTATAGCGTACAGACATACATATTAGGGTCTACCTAGGGGACCAAGCAAATTTCGAAATGTATTTACGAACGCCCCACTCCAAGAAATAAATGCTCGTCACATCAAGTTGAAGATCGTCAATCCGCTGTACATAAGAGCGAAGAATTTAATTGCCTAATAAATAAGCCGACACCGTTCGACGCATGGGAATTATAAAGGCGCTTTCACAGCGCACAATTGGTCGGCACATCAAAGAAGCCCGAGCTAATTTTACATAAGTACTATGCAGAGTCCCTTACATTCCTTTCTTTATTATTATTTTTCCTTCAATCGCTTTGTGAGGAAAGTAGGCCGACACTCTTGCGGAATGTACAGGGGTCGCTTGTAACTCGAGCACTAAATTAATATGGCGTAAAAACTACACGATCCGCGCTCTGTTTACAGTGCCCGTTTGTTTAGGGGGTTTATTATGTAAATGTATCGTGTAATTGATGTTTTTTTCAGATTTGCTTAGGCTTGGCTCGTGGCGACGTCGGCTACTTTTTATATTACTTCCGACTATGTTTCCTTCCGCTGTGGCCGCACCTTTACGATAGCTCGCTTCGAACTGTCTCGTTTTCGTATTAAATATATTTAAATACTTATACAATAGATAAATACAAGATTTTGTAAAGTGAACAAATCTGTGTTCCTTTTTTAAATTATTTCATTGACTACTTATTCATGTTGTTAAAATAAATTAAAAATACGTTAACTTATCTGTTTCGTGTTTCAAACTGTTAAAATTGTTTTATTTACATCTTTGTTTACATCAAAACGTGTTGGTTGGATTTGAAATGTATATAGTCCCATCAGTGCAACTGATGAACATGTAAAAATGTTAAAGTTTTCAAAGGAATTTAATTGCTTTCACAAATACATTAGAATAACCTTCAAGCTTCAACTAGGAAAATACACATAACTTCTTCATTGGTAATCTTTTATAACACTGGTAAATCAAGCAAACACACCTTATCAATGAAGTTTTGTACATGACAACGCATATGTGTATAACCCCTATAATCGAACCCTATCGAATTCCGTTTTCCGGGAAATATAAGTTTAGAGTGATCCGTTCAATCAGGTAGCCACTCCCCCTCACGGGAATGGACAGTGGTCAAATCGGACTACACATGCGCAATTACACCCACTCATTCAATTGTAGTGATTTATAGGTTGTACTGTCAGTACGGTCACCACAGAATATGTAATTTCTTTTAGTAAAAAATTTCCAAGATATAGATTAGCAAATATTTTACAACTTAAAAGAATTGTTGTAAAATAGCGTTGAAGAAACACACATTTGTGTCTGTTTAAATAATAAATTTTATTTATGAGAAATGTTAATTTTTTCTCTGCCTGGTTGAGTAAATAGATAGACTAAAAATGACACGGGCGGCACTCGAACCGGCATCTAACAGTTGAACTGTCGTGTCTATTACGATTCATGGAAGTAGATTAAAATTTTGAAATTTAACTAAAGAAGATTTTTTTAGTTATTTGAAATAGTGAGATAGTCACTATTTCATACTACACTTAGTGCAATAGACCTCACGAAATTATCTCTTACTAAAACTGAAGTTTTATCTATTTTAGTGTATCTAAAGCCGACATTATCTGTGATTTATCGAGTCCTGTCTAGGCACAGCCGTCAAACGCCTCAGGTGTCGGGGGCGCCTCCCTTCAAAAGGTCTGTCGCCGAAAAGTTTAAATTAGCTCGTTACTCGACGTGCCAGTTAAATCTGTTTTGTTTTTTCACCGCAGGAAAGGTCAATAGTAACTTGTGTGTTAAACTTTGGAAGTGTGAATTAGTAATTATATTCCGGTACGAGAAATGTTTGTTACAGAGTGCTACAGGATTCTGTATTTACATGAATAGCCAGATTCTAAAAACATTTATACGGTTTTAACACGTTCCGCGTACTCATTAAATCGGTAACATTTCTAGTAAACATAGTGAAATATTTAATAATGTCTGTAAGTTACGCGAGTACACAAAAAACTAATATAAGTTTAACTAATATATCTCGCGCTTTAAACCGTTAAAGTGTTGCATTTAAATGGTTAAATATTAAATACTGTCTATAGTTTACGCGAGTAGTATACATTTCAATAAAACACTTTAACGGTTTAAAACGCGATTTAAACTTATTTGAAAATGATTTTTAACTTCGGCCCGACGTTTCGGATGCTTTGCAGCAGCCGTGGTCACGGGTCAAATTTCAATATGAACAATTATATACATGAATTGATTACTGTGAAATGTTTTTCAATTTTATTTGCACCTACGGGTTCAAATCTTTATCAGAGTTTTAGTTAATTACTTTATTACAAAACATTAGTTACAATTTATTTGTTTTTATCATAGGTGAGATGAATGTACGGATTAGTTAAACATAGTTTTTCAAAGTGCATTTTTAGGTATTTTTTGACTTAAAAATTATACACAAAAGTAATTATTTAATAGTAAAGTTATGCAACCCAGTCTACTAAGTTAAATATTAAATTGTACCTGCGAAGATTATTTATATACATTTTCAAATCTATACTAATGTATAAAGCTGAATGAATTTCTTTTTGTGTTACTTAGAACATTTATTGAGGAAGGTTATTAAAATATATCACTGTGAATAATGTAGCAAAGAAACAGTGGGAAATGTCTAAAAAACTGAGAAAATTATTTATCCTTGTGGGTTACCATTGCGTACGCTGCAAACACAGTTCAAGATACCCCAAACATATGTATGAAAGAATTCTCTTTAAATAATTAAAAAAACATGCTACGGTATATCTATCTCTTAAGATGAACTCGCAAGAACGACGTGACGCGACCGATTCCGTGGGTAAAAGCTTAAATTTATAAAGATCTTTGTAAAAACAAATTTGGATACCGACGAACGGACAAAGTCGCTAGTATATCTTATATATCTCTAATCCAAAATTACAAAGTATACTTTTATTATAAATATTAAACTGATACATATAAATGATTACTCAAAGGGACGGTATACAATGCCATTTATATGTGGTACATAATTTTCAATTCCATTTGATATGAATTATCCCGACTGTTGATCGAAGTCATCCATAACGCGACCAAACAAAAAGTGTCCAATATAGACAGAATTCAGACCACCGTGGCCAATATTATATTGCCAGGGGTTCTCAAACGCCCCATTGTTGGCAATCGTATTCTAAACCGCTGTGTTGCAAGGTAAAAATAATAAGAGATTTGGGGAGACTATTGTTCAAATGGGTACAGCTTTTTGATGAACACGAATGAATATATTGAGGGGCAGACAATATTTTGCGTCCGTTGATCATTTTACAAAGAATATTTTTAAGCTAAGTTTGATTATTTATGAAATAAGTATTTATTTTTTTATATTTATACTTCTTAACGTATAAAGTAAATTTTTTTTCCAACACAAAACGTTTGGTTGGGGGTATAAAACTTTATGTTTCGAGTTTTGAACGGTTCAAAGTATTTTTACACGAATCCGTTAACTTTGAGACTTCAGGTCCTAGCGCAAATTAAAACGGAAGAACTAGTATTAAGTTAAATACTGTGCGTGGTTTACGCTAATAGTACACATTTAAATACAATAATTTTAACGGTTTAAAACGCGAATTGAAGGCCGTATTTCAAATTCAAAGCGTCCGAAATGTCGGGCCGTAGTTAAAATAATTTTAGTTTAAATAAAACACTTTAACGGTTTAAAAACGACTATATATTAGTGTAAACTTATTTGAAAATGATTTTTACACTTCGGTACCCGCTGTATTAACTTTTTTGATGCAGCAGAGTCTCC